GTTCTAGGATCTTTGATTACATTGTCTTGTACTTAGTACTACAGTTTCTTAATTTGTTGATTTATTGAAATAAATTTGATTTACCTGAGATTTCTCCCATTCATACCTCCATTGGTTTTCTATTTTGAATTTGCTTCATAATATGGTAAAATTTACTCTGGTTAGAGGCAAAATATTATAGCAAAGCTTATGGGGAAACAATAGATTTCTTCCTCTTTATAATTTTAAGGATATTATGTGGTTTGGGTTATTGTCATTAGAGGCTTTTTATCCTTATATTGAATCTGGTATGTTGGATACTGTGCCTTGGTCACAAAGAAGTTACTTTAGAATTGCATGTGACCAAGAGCTTGCAGTTGCAATAGGTGTGCAGCTGCTCCCCCATGTGGTTGTGGATCCAAAGAGCTTGTGGAGCTTATATTAAGAGCACACCACCATTGCATTTTGTGACAAGCTAGCATCATTCTTGAGAAGCACAGCTAAAAGTTTAGATCTAGAATTTTATGACACATCAAACTCTAATGATGATATAACAATATTATCGTATTTTTGAACCTATTTTTATAATATGTAATGCTCAGTTGTACGCATCCAACTTTACTATGGCAAACTAGAGGGTATGTTTTTAGAACCACAATAACAAACAAAGTTGGAGATATAGAAAGGACATAGAAAAGAATGTGAAAAGTGAAAGTGAAGAACGATGGAAGATTTTGGCTCTCTGCTTCTTTATTCCCCTGTCATCGGTAGATAAACCCAGAATGCTAATCCACATCAAGTTATATTCTCAGGTTTCATATAACTAAAAATGTACATGTATAAGATGGCTAAGCAGGGGTAGGGATATAATAAATGATTATGAAATCATTTTTCTGAATTTGCTTCCGAGCAAGTGACATCTATTTCCAATGCTTTTGACATGGTTAGTCCTTTTGGGATAAAATTCATATTTGCTTATGGGATCGCTTATAGTTCATTTTTGGGGTAGCAGCAGACAGAGCTGGATCATAATTTGACACTGAGTTTTAGGCCCAACTAAGAAGACTGTGATACAGTGGTATTCTGTTCTTATATTTCTGTAACTTGTACCTACCATGGATTTGTCAGCCAGAATCTTTTAAATCTTAATATTACTTACAAAAAAACATTACTAAGGATTGAATATACTAGCTTTAGATTGATTGCTCATTGTCATACAGTTTCATGTGTAAGAATAGATAATACATTATTCAAGAGATAGGGAATGCTGTTATTTACTCATATGTTCTATCAGTGGACTATGCTATATGTGGAGTTGAAAAATAATATAAGCCATAGGCTTTGCCAACCTGAGGGCTTCGCATCTAGTGTAGGAGAAATGCAGTTACAGAATAAGCAGGTAGCAGGCAATAGTAAGACTTTTAATTGCAGTAAGTTTGAAAGAAGGTTAAGAGTCAGGGTAGGGTGTGTTTGCCAGAGGAGCTGGAACTTCTGATGGAAAGATAGAAAGGAGAGGGAAAGTATTTTAAAGGAGTTCTTGAAGAAATGCCTCAAGAATACTCTGGCTTACATATCCAAATACAGTTTGTAGCTCTAAATTGACTCAAAGAGCTACAGAAAGGTTAGCCTGTAATAAAGTGACAATATGGTAGTTCTTTTGGAGAAAAGGCTTTTCATTGAATATGACTCTAGAGTCAAATCTCAAGTAAAGACAAGCTTCCCGAAGAGCTATACAGCCACCCACAGCTAGCCACAGAGCAGGGTGATAGAATGGAAAGACCACCTGAATTTAGAATCAGGAAGCCTAGATTTTAGTTTGGGCTCTGACACTAATCCTGTGGCTGGAGCACATCCCTTAACTCTGCAAGACTCCATTTTCTTTATTATAAAATTAGGTTTTGGACTAATTGGTCTCTAAATGTCTTTCATCTTTGACTCTTTGTCTTTTCTGTGCACATAAACATCAGATCTAATCATCGTTAGTGGCATTATTTTGAAAACATGGGACAACATAGGAACAACATTCTTTATTGAAAAAAAAGAAAAGCAACTTTTATAAAAATTTGTAGGATTTACTGTTTAAACATAGATTTGGAAGTGTGACAAAAGGAAGGAATCTATTTGTATAGATGCTCAATTATTAAAAAAAATTTTTTTGAGAACATGCCCCAATCAGGGCTGTATTCCTTTCCTGAAGCATTATGTTGATTCTTTTTTATTGCTTTGAGATGGAGATTTTAGGAGAAGAGTCAGAGACCAATCAAAGAGTTTTAGACCCTCCCAGTTTCTTATCAAGTATCAATGCCTAAATAATATTCCTATGTAAGATGCCCTCTTCTAGGCTCCTACCTGAAAGTGCAACTTTAATCACTTAGAAGGTCCTGTACCTCACAATTGGTATAATTGGAGCCTCAGTGATTGGAGGAAACACCGTAGCATAGTGTTGTCCTCAGCTTACAGGAAAGCCATCATGAGGAGTGATGTGTTGGGTAAACAAAGACTATCCTATAGCAGAAATTGTGGAACCCAGGAAAAATTTAATTACAACTAAGTTTTACCTTATAACTTTTATCTTTGGGGGATAATTTTCTAATTTTTCTGTAGAAAACAAACATTAAAAACAACAAGCTAGATACAGAATTCCTTAAGAAAAATAGAGCTTTAATAAAATGAGATTTTGCTAATGTTATGCTCTTCCTTCCTTTTAGGAGATGGTGCAGCCTCCTTAGTTTATTTTGATTGAGAAAAAGGTCCCAAATCTATTTGTTTCCTAATATCCCACTGCAAAAGAAAAATAATTGTATGACTGTCCCAGAGGTTTCAGGGTCATTTGGAGTATTTCTAAGATTTCCTGTAATCCATATTTTATTTTTGTTTTGAACATCTCTCTGATGGTATCCCAGTGAGAAATAATTTATTATTCCTAGAAGTATACTACTACTATAACATTTCTGACTAGATTCTGTTTCTAAAATCTTTTAAATTTTATAATGCTTGAAATGCATGCTTATTACAAGTTTTTAAAATGCATGAAAATATAATTTTTTTATAAATTGAAATTAACCTGCATATCTTTCCCTTCTCTTGCCCTCCCCTTTTGAATAATTCAATCTAAAAGACATTACGTAGGGCTGAGTAAGGTAGGAGTCTACAGACGTCAAACCTAGAAGCCATAAGAGAATAGATGGATAATTTAGCTACATAACAATAAAAAAATTCTACATGGAAAAAAATAAGCCATCACAAATAGGAAAAACTATTTGTATCACTTATGTTCAAAGGGCCAATTTTTTTTGTATGTAAAGAGTGTATGCAAATCAATTAGATAAAGAGCAGCAACCCAACAGGTAATCTACAAAGGAACAGAACAAACTGTTCATAGAAAATTATGCAGTTTGTTCCTTTCCTTTATATAAAAATGAGAAATTTTCTTAAGTATATGAGAAAATGCCTAAATTCTCATTCATAAGAAAAATGTAGTTTAAAAGTATGTTGAGATACACTTTACCTATTAAATTGACAGATCCACCATTAAAACATCTTTTGAAATGCCTGTGAAAAAGCAAGCACTTTCAAAAATTGCTAATGGGATTACAAATTAATACAACATATGTGGGGCACAGTTTGGGAATATCCAGCAAATTTACTAATATGCATTCCCTTTGACTCGGCAGTTTTGCCTCTGGGAATTTAGCCTACTGATGCACCTCCACGCAAACTGACAAAATTATAAACTTATTTATTGCAACACAGTTTGTAACAGCAAAAGATTGTGAGCAGTACAAATGTCCACACATGTAGGGGACTGGTTAAATAAATTATAATGCATCCATAAAATGGAATACTATGCAGACATTAAAAAGAACAAAGAAACTTCATGTGGAATGAAGTCTAAGGAATATGTTAAGAGAAAAAAGCAAAGTATAGAAGTATGTATATATTATGCTACTACTTTTGTAAGAAAAAGGGAGGAAAAGGGCAGTAGATGTGCATAAAATATCTCCGGAAATACACATAAGAACTGATTGTATTTCTCTTTTTTTTTTTACATTTTTTTTCTTTTTTTTTTTTTTTTTTTATTTCTCTAACATGGTCATGAGTTGTGAGAGAACTGATTGTATTTCTCTAGAGTTAACAACTAAATGGCTAGAGTATAGGAATATAAGAGACTTTTCAAAGAACACCTTTTTATAGCTGTTGAATTTTTAACCGTGGCGATTTACATATACAATAAATAAACTTCTAATGAAAACAAGGAAATACCTTGTAGGCCAAATCAAATAAAAAGAAAGAAGCATAACATTATATCAAATGCTTTTATACATCCTATAACCATAATAAACATCAGATATATTTTTCTTTGCCATCTAGCTGCAGATACCATAGCTATTTTTTTTGTGAAAAGGATTATTCATGAAATTTCCTAATGCTGAATTATTCCTGGAGTGATTCCTATGTGACTTTTTTTTTTTTGAAGATGGAGTCTCACTCTGTTGCCCAGTCTGGAGTACAGTGGCATGTTCTTAGCTCACTGCAGCCTCTGTCTCCTGGGCTCAAAGGGAGTCCTCAGCCTCCCAAGTAGCTGGGATTACAGGTGAGCACCACCACACCTGGCTAATTTTTGTGTTTTTAGTAGAGACGGGGTTTCATCGTGTTGTCCACGCTTGTCTCAAACGCCTGACCTCAGGTGATCTGCCCGCCTCAGCCTCCCAAAGTGCTGAGATTACAAGCGTGAGCCACCATGCCCGGCCACTGTGTGACATTCTTTTAATGCCTTGCTCATTTATATTTGTTTATATTTAAATGTTTTACATTAATATTCAAAACTGAAGATTTGTTGATAGTGGGTATTTTGTCAGTCATCTTTGGCATGTTTTGATAAGGAATATTATGAAACTGTATGAGAATTGGAAATATTTTCTTTTCTATTTTTTCTTTCCCCTTACCCCTTGAGGCAGGCAAGCTGAGTTTGAATACTCTTGGCATTTTTGCATATGCAATAATTGTAGTTTTACCTACAGGAAGAAGAAGGAAATACTTGGAAAACACAAAAAACTTCCTGGCTCCAGGATTGTGTTTTATCCTTATCTCCAACCAATGATCTTATGGTGATAGCTCGAGAACAAAAAGCTGTATTTCTAGTGCGTGAGTAACCTATTATTTTCAGCAACCTTTATCTTGGTGGATTGGATAGAAGAGAAAATGGATTTGGTGGAAAGAATATAACACTTTTTATTTCCCCTCTCTCTCTCTCTCTGTCAAGGTCATTGACCTTTTCTTAGTAACAATGTGAGTGAGGTGATTTTCAACTCTAATTTGAAAACTCGTAATATTACAGATTTCTGGTGTTTTGGACATAACATTTTAACTCATAATTTTTTGTTGAAGATTAAAATTGACTTGTTTTTCATATCTTATAGATCTACAAACCTTACTCATCAAAGTAAGATTATGTGTAAAATGTTTGTAGAATGGTCTTACAAAGCAAATTTACCCTCCAGTAGCAAAGATCTAGTAGAAAAATTTTCTCTGTCATCTGAAGATAAAAGTAGTCTTGAACTAGGCAGGATGAGCATAGGAATTAATAACTTTATTCTACAAGAATTATGACAACATTATATAGGTTGAATTGGGAGAAGGAGAGGCTAAAGGCCAGGAGACTAGGTGTATTGTAAAAATCTTATAAACATTTTTATTTTATATTTACCTATAAAAAAGACCCACGTCAGTTAATACACAACTGTTAAATTTTATAATCATATTCTAAGGGGAAAGAGCAAAATTTATAAATTATTGTTTTAGTATATTGTAGCTAAAATTATTTTATATGATATCTTAATTTTTTTAGCAAAATGGAAATATAGTGATAAAGGAAAAGAAGAAATGCAATTTGCTGTTGGTTGGAGTGGTTCTTTAAATGTCGAAGAAGGGTAGGTGCTAGTTAATTTATGTTTCTCTGTGTGTTACATGTATGTATGAAATAGTTTGACTTGTAAGTGAATCTATTAAAAAGTTTGATTGTTTGGTTAGGCACAGTGGTTCACATCTGTAATCCTAGCACCTTGGAAAACCAAGTTAGGAAGATCATTTGAGCCCAGGAGTTCCAGACCGCCCTGAGCAACATAGTAAGACCCTATCTCTACAAAAAAATTTTAAAATTAGCTGGATGTGGTACATGCACCTGTAGTCCCAGGTACTCCAGAGGCTGAAGCAGGAGGATTGCTTGAACCCAGGAGTTTGAGGCTGCAGTGAGCTATGATCATGCCACTGCATTCCTGCCAGGGAAACAGAGTGATACCCTGTCTCTTAAAAAAATAATAATTTTTTAAAATAAGAAAGAAATTCATTATTTGAAATGTTTAGTAAATGTATATGCATCCTACCTTTAGAGGCTGTAGAGAATGATTCAGTCAGCAAATTTTATGTATCATGTAATTAGTTTTAAATTCTGTTGTAAGATTTAAGGAAGAATTTTAAAAGAATCTCATAAAACCCTTTTTACATTTTGTCTTTTCCCTCTGTTCTCCATTACTAATTTTATTCATCCAAAAAGTCAAGGGCAATCATTGTCTTCTCTGCTTTGCTGATATTGGGCTTATGCTTGAAGGGTACAGTACTACATTAATTCTTAAAACTTATAAATACTTCAGAAATGCAAGTTGGTACATTAGTTTCCTGCTGACCCAGTAAAACTTTTATAACCATGATATCCAGTGTGGTTACATGATGGAGCTGCTAGCCTAGAACCTCGAGCCCAAAACTGGTTTTCAATTAAATTTTAATGACTTAAAACTGTCTGATCAGACTGAATAAGAAAAGCCTTCGGACTTTGAAATCAGGTAAAAGACAACCAAGTGGAAGTGCCTAAAACATCCCTGACACATTGTAGATATTTGAAATATTCTCTACTATTATCAAAATAAATGGTAATATTTCCCCTTAGACCATTTAGACTAAGTGTTTTAAAGTCATTTGATTTCTGTCAGAAATGCAAAGCAAATGTAATACTTTAAAATCAGTGAACAAACATGAAGATGAATTTTGTTCTTTGATTACCTAGTATGATGTATGGAATAGAAGTGTTTATAGTTTCATGGATAAGCTGGTGATCATCCTCAGGTTCGACAGATTTAACAAAAGTCAGTGGGTAGGAGTTGTTTTGATTTTGAGACTTAGTTTCTGAGCTCCTGACAAATATTTCAAATCTACATGTCAGGAAAATAAAATATCTTTTTAATGGAACATCACACCTAACATGTACTTAGAAATAGATTATCAGAGCAGTTTCTGCAAAATAGAAAAGAAAAACCAGCAAGTTGAACACATAAGCTCCTAAAATAATGTACCCTGCAGAAATGCAGTTTGCATGTCATGTGACTGGCAGTTCCTCAACCATTTGCCCAGCTCCTGATCTCAAACAAGGAGGCAGGCCAAAGTTCTTAGCTGAAGCAGAGGAGAGGAGGGGAGATAGTAGGAAATGGCTGCTTGGGGATCATTTGAGGCTTGCTCAGCTCTGTATACAGTCACTTGTGTAAGTAAAATTTTGCTTTCTGTACTTCCATGTTTTTCATGACAATACAGAGTGAAAAGTTGTTTCTTATTAGCCTCAAATGAGAGCAGCATTACATTTTATGAGAATGAATTTTAAGGACCTTACCTGTGGTGAAGTTTTACTGTATTTTTACTTATGCATCAGATAAAACTGGTTCACAGAAGTCATCTTCCACTTATTATCCTTTAAACATTCAATTATGGAGAAATAAAAGTAATTGATGAGTTCAGTGGAAAAGCATATGATTTTGTTTTTGTTTTTAGGGAATGTGTAACCAGTGCTCTATGTATTCCACTAGCAAGCCAAAAGAGGTAAGGATGAATAAGAGTTATCTGTTGTCTTTGCTTTGATTTATGAGTTGTTAAGATAATAAATTTTGTTTGTAACAGGAGTTCCACTGGGCGTCCTGACTGGACCTGCATTGTGGTGGGTTTTACTTCAGGTTATGTACGCTTCTACACTGAGGTGAGTTGAGTTTTCAGCAGCTAGAAAAAAAACTGTTTGACTGCATCCCCTTTATACTAGTTTGTGACTTTATTACCTACTGCCTGAAAATGTGTAGTTGATGCTTTATGGGGATAGAGGCCAGGACAGACCATGGCAAGTTCTGGTAGAAGATACAGAGAAGAGGAGCTGTATTCTGAAAAGAGTGTACTTGGTATCTCTGGAAAACTGTTGGGGAAATGGTACACTCTGCCTGGTGATACCTGCTTAGATATATTGGTAAGAAAACAAGCAGGGCTCTTCTCTGTGCTTCCTCCTAGAATGGTGTACTCTTGCTTGCACAGCTTTTGAATGAGGACCCAGTGCTTCAACTTAAATGCAGAACCTATGAAATACCACGACATCCTGGCGTGACTGAGCAGGTAGTGTAAAAGATTGTGTTCCAGCAGTAACAGTGGCATTACTTTAAAGCAGTTTCTCTCCTCTTTTGGGGGGTAGAAACTTAACAGATATCTTTGTCTTGTGGCACAGTTAGCTCTGCTATCATATTCTAGAAATATAATCTATTTGTAGCTGAAAAAGAATACCAGTCTTGCTCTTACTTATTTAATGAAATATTGTATGTTTCTTTCTACAACAAAGTAAAACACTTTAGTTAGAAGCCAAGAAAATTGCTTATTTTTAGAATTTAATGGTGACTTAATACAAAAATATGGTATTATATAACCTTATATCTTTTTTTATTTGGATTTAGGTGCTAGCATTACCCAGAATAAAAGAAAAAAAAAAAAAAATGCCTTCTTGTTACTAGTGCTACTACCTTGTACTTAACTATTTCCCAGAAAGGGGGTTACTAAGCTTTTGTTCATAGTGGAAAATACATTATATTCATTGAAGATTTCAGTGAGAAAATAATACTGTTTAGTATTTAAGGCTGTAAATTCTTAGGTGCCTTATAAGATTTTGGCTGTCTCAGTCAGAAAATAATTGTAGGGCATGTAAACCACTATGCTTTTATTTGTTTTGCAGAGTGCGTAATCAAAACTATGTAATATGCCTTCCCTTTTTTGTACTACTTGGCCTCCAAAAGATTTCAAATAAACAGATATATATACTGTATGTATATGTTAATTTAATTTGCATGGGAGGTAGACTGGAGCTGTTGAAGAAACTTAACTATCTAGTAAGAGAGACTAGGATTAAAATCTAATAATATCTGTGTATGAATTAATCACTAATATAAAGCAATACCTAATTTATTTGGATGGAATACATTCTGTATGAGCTTAGAGAAAGGAGAGTTCAATTTGGACTGGGAAAATAAGAAAATTTCATTGATGAGGTGAGATTTGCTCTAAGCCTTGAATAATTGGTGTAGAATTTAATTAGGTAATTGAAAAAAGGGGAAAGTGTTTTAGGTGATCAGGAGAAAATTTGAGAGAAGATTCAAATGTAGAACTATATATGCAACTACAAAGAAACCTGTGTTATAAAACAATGAGAAACTGTCAAATAGGCAGAGTGGCCAAATTTTGCATAAATCCAAAAGCCAAGTGGAAAATTAGAATTGATTCAGGAAATGAAAGAAACTCCTAAAGATTTATGAGAAGAAAGCGATGTAATCAAAGGAATATTGAAGATTTCTCTCTTCAGGATAAACTGGAATTTGGGAGGCTGGTTATCCGGTTTTTTAAGTTATCTATAACAGATGTGGAGTGCTGGGAGCCAGGACTAAAATGGCTATGGGAAGAGAGAAGGGACCAGTACAAAAATTGTTTTGAGGAAGCAATTAATAAGACTTGGTTATTGTGTAGAGATGTACAACTTTTTAAATGAGCTAAAGATGTCTCCAAGATACTTATCCTGAGGAGTGCCATTGTCAAAGTTGGAATAGGGGACTACATTGCAGTAAATGTTATTAAATGTGGTTTCACACTTGTTGAGTTTGAGGCAATGGTAGGAAATAAAACCAAGTTATTGGTGTCATGTAATGATAGAAAACTGCTGTATAGGCACAGAGACTAGATTGGACATGATGGTTGAAGTCATAGATAATGAATGAATTCTTTCAAGTAAAGCATGTAGGAAAATAAAACTGCAGGCTGAAGACTTAAGTCTTAGAAACTAATAATACTCATCATACTCATCATAAGGAGATAGGAGAAATTGAACTATTAAAGGAAACAAGGAACAGCTGGAAATCAAAGAAGATAATCTGTGAACTGAAGATAACTTTCCAGAGATGTTTCTCAAATTTCTAAAAATTCACTGGATGATGAAGCTTTTTAAAATACATTAAATTTTGTCATGTCTATAATACTCTTTTTTAGACATGGGTGGGAAAATATAACTAACATTTAAATATTTGCTTGCTATTTGCTATACAAGCCAAGAAAATCATCTCAAAATTTTTATCGAGAAGGAAGTCTTTGCTGTTACTCTGTATTCTACGTTAAACATCTCTGGATCTAACACATCAATTTATATATCAAAAATATCTTCTATTTTCTCCTTTTTAATACACTTCCAGATTTGTCAGAGATCACAGAAGCATATTTCCTCTAATTCAGTTCTGGGAGCAGTGAATGTAGTAAGGGTAACAGTAGGTTATTGCAGGAGAGGATTCGAAGGAGAGAGAAAATCTCCTTCTGGAATTTCAAAGAACTTCTTTTGTATAATTGCTTCTGTAAAAAAAAAAACCTCTGTCATCTAGCGCAATATCTACAGATTTGGGGCCATTGGTGTTTGTATTAGTGTTTTCTTCAGGAAGACTACCTGGTTTTGGAGATAATTGACTTGCTGGTTGTTAGGTCTTTTCTGTTTTCTAGCTCCCTAAAGTCAGTGAGGAGGCTCTCTCCCTGCTGCCATGCTCACTGAGTCATACATTCTTAGCCTTGTGAACCTGTCATGTGAGAACTCATGCCGTGTCCCTTCTTCACTAGCTTATGCCCCTTATGCCCCAGAATTCCTTTTTAGGAAGAGAAACAGCCTGACAGTCTAGTTAAAAAAAAAAAAAAAGGAGCAAGGCAGATCTCAAAAGAAATTGGCCTAAAAGCATATAAGAAAATTTTGAACCTTAATCTAAGAGCTATAAGAAAATACAATGAGATAACTTTTCACTTTTCAGATTGGCAAAGATAAAGATTAACAAACTTTTGGTGACAATATAGAAAAACAGGCACCTGCCTGTATTGTTGGTGGAAGTATAAGTTGATAGGTACTTTTTGAGGCAACTTAATATATAAGAGAATGAAAATTGTGAATACTTTATGACCCAACAGACCCAGTTGAAGAAATTTACACTTAAGTAATATCCTACTAACATGGAAAGATATGGACAGAATAATGTTTATTGCAGTGATGTTTATAATGATGAAAATATATTAATTCATAAATATTTCTTTACTGCCTATTATGTGCCCAGTTCAGTTCTAATCCTTGAGGATTCATTGGTGTAGCAGACATACAAGGTTCCTGCTTTCATGGAGCTTACAGTTTGGGGATGGTGGAGGGAAACCAACAGTAAGCAACTAGAGATGTCAAGGTGATTCCAGTCTCTGATAGGTACTGTAAAGGAAGTCATGTTGATGAGATAGTAATGAGCCAAGAGAATAGGTATGTTGTTTGAGATGGAGGTTTAGGAGCAGCCTCTCTGGATAACTAACATTTGAACTGAAATCTGAATGACCAGAACAATTAGGCAGGTGAAAATCTGGGAGGAGAAGGTCCAAGCACATGCAAAGGTCTGAGGGTAATGATGACCCCTCATATTTGCCAGGTCTTGCAGCCATGGTTAACGAGTTCAGGTTTTATTCTAAATGCAGAAGGGAGTCATTGGAGAGTTTTAATCAGGAGATTGATTTGATCTGCTGTGTCTCATGAAGAGCACACTGGCTGTGTTGAACATGGATTGTAGAGAGCAAGAGTGAAAGCACGAGGCCAAACTGAATGTCCATCAATATGAGCTAGTTAAGTAAAATGGGGTACATATAATTAAAGACTGTGCAGCCACAACAGAAGATTATTTGTTCACTTATTGAAATGGAAAAATATCACTGACATATTATTGAGTAGTAAAAATCATGTTAGGATACTATATGTGTTGAGGATGTGTTGAGACATTTCTGGGATTTCAGGTGAGTTTTCTTCTGTTTTTACGTATTGTTTGTATCTGTGCAATGGGTATGTTTATTTTTTATGAAATTGTAATTCTTTATGTTACTCTCAGCATCTTTGAGACAGTTATTCACCATACACAAAAAGGTTGTATTTGAAAAGAATTTTAGGTCTTCGGCAAAAAGGCACTCTGAAATTAATTTTTTAAATCTATTTTTACTGTTGTTCTGACTGATACTGCTTTGGGTGTTGGGTGGTTGATGGTTTAGTCCCAGTATTTTTTATTTTACATTATTCATGAAATTCAGGTATATTAAAAAAAATAGATAAGCTTATTTGATGTATCTAGTTAAGAACATTTATTTTTTTCTTTCTTATTTCTTAAATAGAACGAAGAGTTGAGTATCTTATATCCCGCTGCCATTGTGACTATTGATGGATTTAGTCTTTTTCAATCTCTTCGTGCTTGTCGAAATCAGGTAGCAAAAGGTAATATTTGGGCAAGAAATATTTAACCTATGATGATGTTTGTTTATTTAATTTTACCTGCTTATGGAGTTAATTATGTCTTCTAAATACAGAAAGACGTTCTGAACTAGATTTATGGGGAAAAAACCTGCCTCCTATAGAGATAAGGGAGCATGTTGAGTAGATTGCTTAGTAAGGTAGAGACAAGGGCTAAAACATAAACACTCTTCACATGTTGCCTTTGGAGAGCGTGGTCAGCACAGAAACGCCAGGCTTTCTTCACTAATTCAGCAATATGGCTTGGCTACTTAGATTTGCAACTGTATTGACAACCAACATTGGGGTAAAGAATTTAGTTATATCTGGCTGAGGTACCACCTTTTCACTAGATCCGCGGCTAATCAAGGCCAATATCCTAAAACCTTGTGACTGTACATTGCACCTGTCCTCACTGAGGTTAAAGATATCACTATGTGCAAGGGAAATGCAAGATCCTACAGATACCACTGTAGGCAGGACGTAGCAGGGAGTCAACATGAGCTTCTTTTTGCTAACTTGGAACACTCGGAATGGAGAAAAGCTAGAGGCCTAAACTTCATGTGTATATGGGCAACAGTATTATTTTCAGACTTAGGGATGAAAACTGCCCAAATAGTCAAGAATTCTTGCTTTTACTACCTATAATTTACATTCTAATGCTGTTACATCTTTGGAAGAGATATTTCATCAAATTCAACATGCCATTGATTGTAAGATACGCTATTATTTTATGTACCACTAAGAAGAAAAACTATTGCCAGTAAAAGACACACCATCAATTTTCAGATCTCAATTTCAGAGTTGGGAAAATATGGAAAAGTAGAGTCTTAAAACTAGTGAAAATATGAATGGTAACACTAACTTTTGTTTTTTTTTTTCTGGGATTGAGTGGAAGAGGCTTAATGGCCCCAAAACAAAGTTTAACTTTGGTGGAAAATGAAATGGCTGATCATACCAATTATAAAATAATGGTCTATTACTAGTTTATTAAATTAATGAACTTCTTACCTGCAGAAAATTGCCTTTTGATATATAGATTAAGGGTATGTTAAATGTTCTCAAGATAATGAAGCTTATGGTGGATTAAATTTAAATAACTTAAGAGTATGAAAATAGGTATAAAAACTTAAACAAATCCTGACCTAGTAAAAAAGCGTATACTAGAAAAAAACTGCATAGCCAAGACTTCAGAATTTTACCAATCATGTCAACCTGCTAAAAAAGAGAAAAAGTTTTGATTGCAATATAAGATGCTGCATTTAGACTAAATTTAGAAATAATTTTATGAACCAGTAAACATATCCTAATTAGCCTGTGTTTTCAGGAAACCGTCTCAACCATTTAGGAGTTAAATTTTGTTTTGGGGCCACCAAGGCTCCTCTACTCAATCCCAGAAGGAAAGGGGAAGTCAGTGCCACTACTCATATTTTCGCTGATTTTAAGACTTTTCTGTATTTTAACAACTCTAAAATTGGGATCTGAAATTATTTCTAAATCTAGTACATTGCAGCATCTTATATTGCAATAAAATTTTTTTCTCCATCTTTTTTAGCAGGTTGATATGATTGGTAAAATTTTGAAGTCTTGGCTGTGTGGTTCCTTTTTAAAAATTTTATTTAGCCGGGCGCGGTGGCTCAAGCCTGTAATCCCAGCACTTTGGGAGGCCGAGGCGGGTGGATCACGAGGTCAAGAGATCGAGACCATCCTGGTCAACATGGTGAAACCCCGTCTCTA